CCTGTGCCAGAGTGAAGACAGGAATTCTGCTCTCTCCATTTCCAATTCAGTGGTTTAACCACAGTGCAATCCTTCCTCTCCGGCTTTCACGGGATGAGAGGCAGGGCTCCTGTCACAAATTGTGACTTCAAGAGACAGGACATTTATACGGATCTCAAGAATACCCAGAGTTATCATAACTCATCACAACATATATTTGAAAGGGATGTTAAACCCGGTGCTTCAGGGTTTAAGCCAGTCTCTCACTATTGGACATCAGGATGAGATCTAATGTGGAAGGCAGATTACCCCACACTGCCCCCTGCATGGTTTCTTACACTTTCTTCTGAAGCATCTGTGACAAAACACTGTCCGAAAGATGATATTGGACTAGATGGAACTTGGGTCTAACCCCATCTGGCCGTCACTATGGTCCTATGTACATATGCACCGTGGCTAATTCTCTGCAGGTAGAGACAAGCTGAGATTTCAATTCTGGAGCCCAGATGAATTCTCCCCGTTTGTCAGGACCGGCTCTAGGCACCAGCAAAGCAGGTGCTTGAGGCAGCACATTTGCAGGGGCTGGCATTCGGGCCATTCCTTTTTTTTTTTTTTTGTCTTGGGGGCCTGCTGCAGAAGCAGAGAACCCACGGGATCCTGGGAGTTCCTTGCCTAGCTCCCTGCCTATAGAGCCAACCCTGGAGCAGGGAAAGAACTACATTTCCCAGCATTCCGTGGCAGCTATCAACAGGAAAGGGAGCGGGAGGGAGTGAGGTAGCTGAGCCATGCTGCAGCTTGCTGTGGATGGAGAGGTGGCTGCTAGAAGGGGGTGGCACTGTGAGTGGGGGACATGTCTGCCCAGCCCAAGGAGTAGGCGGCTTTGCCCCAGATGTCCCCTTCAGAAGACTTCCCCAGCCTGGATTAGGGATACTGGTGTGACCTCACCTTGCAGCCCCCAAAGAAAGAATTGGGGGGACTAAATGGACAGTGCCCCTCTCTATCTGAAGCCTAGCAAGGGAGGTATGTGGATCCCACTAGAATTCAAAATGAAAAGTAAGGGAGGGGAGCTTTAGATACAGCTTTAGATACAGTACCAGGCACGTAGGAGGATTTCCACGTCTGAGCCATGGAAGCAGAAATTGACTTTTCCTTTCCAGATTTAGCCAATATTCGGAAAGGGAATCTAGCACCTGCCTTCCAGATTTGAACACCTCAAAATTCAGGAGTGTTCAAGCTCAATTTGGGCAGCTGTAACTTCATTTCTCCCCAATCAAATATACTGATCCACTGGAACTTGCTGTAGAAAAAGTAGGATAAATTGAGTAAGAAATGCTTCCCAGTGGTTATTAGGACTGGAATTGCTATTTTCAACAGCCATTTTTTTGTTTGTTTTGTTTTTTGTTTTTTTAGTTTTATTTGTTTAAAAGGAAGACAGTGATATTGCATTGGCAAATTCCCCATAGAAAGAAAGAGTGGAACAAAAGAATAATAAAGGCACCTCAACTTTTCCTCATTTATGTAGGACAGTCTTATAATATGCATCCAGACATCCTCCAATCACACAAGCTGAAAATTGTTTAACTTCACTGCAGTTCTGTAACCATACGGGAACCAATCCTGTCTGTGTTCTGTGCGCATCTAAAATTCCTGCTGAATGACCTGCCCTGGGAGCGAGTTACCAGTGACCCAAGGCTGGGACAGCAGGACAGGGCTGCCCAGAGGGGGGACAAGTGGGGCACAAGAGTTTTTGGGGGCCCTGGAGCGGGGTCCTTCACTCCTTCTTCCGCTCCGGGTCTTCGGCTGCAATTCGGTGGCAGGGGGCGCACAGAGGTGAAGTGACTTGACCAAGGTCACAGAAAGAGTTTGAGAGAGAAAGCACACCAGGAATTGAACTCGGCTGTCCTGAAGTGTGGCCCAGTGCCTCCCCG